GCTGAGGGTCAGCCTCCTCTCCCATGTAACTGGTGATAGGACTAGAGGGAATGGCTTCAAGCTGCACCAGGGGAGATTTAGGCTGGACATTAGGAAATACTACTTGTCTGAAAGAGTGGTCAGGCACTGGAATGGGCTGCCCAGGGAGGTGGTGGAGTCACCAACTGTGGAGATGTTCAAGGAACATTTGGATTTTCTGTTGAGGACATGGCTTAGAGAGAACTTTTGGTGATGGGTGGATGGTTGGACTGGATGGTCTTGTAGGTCTTGTAGGTCTTTTCCAACATTGGTGTTGCTGTGATTCTGTGTGATTCAGGTGCTCGGCAACATCTAAATGAAAAGGACAAATTGCAGGAGCAGGCATCCCAGAGCAGTGGCACAATCTCTAACAAATAAGCCACTATCCAAATCCCATTCAATACAACACAGCCTGGGAGTGAAGAAAAAAACGCTGACAGCCCCATGGTTGTAAATGACTGCCAACATGAAGCAATGAGAGCACAGTGTGTGGCACCTCAGTCCCGTGGCCTCTGAACACAGGAGGCAGATTCCTGCACATGGAGCATCCTCTGCCTTGCTCCACTGGTACACATGCCCAAACTATTTTGGCACAGCAGAGTCACTGGGGACTGGGCACTGATGGCATGCTACTGAAATCAGTCTGCATCAGTGGGGCTGGCAGTAGAGGGAAAGGAGAAAAACACTGTCCCTCAATTCAGCAACAAATAGCAAAGGGAAGGGTTAAAGATCAGGTCTTTAGAGGTATTTATCTAATTCATTCTGATATCATGCAATGAATGTTTTAAAGAGGAACTTACTGAAACTGTCTGTCCTGTGCAAAAGTCACATTGGAAATTGTTAGTAAATCAGGATAGCTCCCTAGTCTGCTGCAATGATCAACAGAATCAGTGACTTAAACAAAAGGGTGCCAGGCTCTTGGCAAAGCTGTGATTACATTGCTTTCCTTTCTGCTGCACTGTTCATATTTACTTCAGTGATGTCTCTTTCAGAGGATGGATTCATACAGAAGAAGAGGGCTTTAAACTCATCCCCACCCAGAATAGGATGATGGAGATAAAGACCTGCAAAAGGAGATCCAGAGGATCTGAAAACTGAAAGCAAAGATGAATGCACTAAATGGATCACGCTTGAAAACCAAGGTGATAAGCCAAACTTGCAAGGCTGGGATGGTGCAGCACAAGCATATGGAGCAGCATGCCAAGGGGCCTGCAGTATCGCCCAAAGGGAGCTTTCAGAGAAGGCAACCAAGAAGGCAACATGCTGCAAGGCCTGAAGCTCCTGTTCCCAACCTGAAGTAGGTCAGTCAGGTGGTGCTTGCCTGTCACTGCTGCTGTTGCCACCCTGGTTTGCCAAGCCTAACCACTGTCACATAGCACAGGGATACCACAGGGAGCTTGCAAATGTGCCAAGCATGTCACCACCCTTCATCTTGGCTACAGAGGGAGATGGAAGATGCAAGAAAGGAAGCAAGATTTCATGTCAGAAATTCCTGAGTAAATAATGCAGTTTTAATTTTGAAGTGGTGAACCTGTCAGGAAGCTGATCTTCATTTGATTTGAAGCAGCTGCCTCCTGCCAGGTAAACACACAGACCCTGAGCTCACTTGCAGCTATGGCAATAACTGTGGCCAGCTGGAAAAGCCAATAGGGTGCATTTCTCCAGCAGGAATTTGCCTCAGCTGACATAAAGGCTTTACTTGTTCTAAATCTGTACAGAAACCTCACATTTATAGGGATCTGGCTTCAAATAAGTAAACAAGAAAGACTTAGGCAGTAACTACAGGTGTCCTCATACAGCTGCAGGCCAGCTCACCTCCAGGCAGTGCAGGGCTGGCACTATACTGGTGTGTTTGTCATCAGCATCTCCTCCTTTGGCTAAAGGCTGGCTTAGTTTGCTACAAAAGAAGCACAGTGAATGCAACAAAAAAGACAGTTACAAGAAAACTCTCACCTTCTGTCACCTGCCCAGGCCATGTTTCACACATTTCTCCCCTGCAGAAAATCACTTATGGCTTGGATACGGAAATACTCTTTTCTGGGGGATTTTCTTTCTTCATCTAAGTATAATTCAGATACGTGGTTGGTAAAAGGAGTTGAAAACAAGGATGAGGACCAAGCTCAGGGCTGGTGGTGTCATGCTGCTCCCTCTCATATTGCTCCCCAGCAGATAATAATCCAGATGTGATTACTCTCTCTAGGATCTTTAAATCCAGGCTTTGAGGATTAAGGAGTCCCCCCTTTCCAAACAGGGGAATCCTCCCTTAATCCAGCCCAACTGGCACAGCAATGCTGGGGAAAAAACAGCATTTTCTGAGGGACGTAGTCCTGGCTCTTTGTATTTCAAAACCTTTCAGGAATGTCATGTCCAACTGGCCATGTTTTGAGAGCCCTTCAGCATCACTCCAAAGTCAGAGTCTGGTTGTAGACCACACCTCATAGCCAATGCCCTCCTTCCCCTCTGCTAGGTACCATTTCAGGGTTACTTTGGGTCTTCCATCCCAAGCACAAGCCCTTCTGAGCCTTGCTGCCGTGCCAGGAAATGTTCCCTCCACCCACTATGGAGTCTACAGGCTTATCACCACTGCTTAGCCCAGTGGCTGAAGCAAATAGTAAAAACTGAGGAAAAATGCCAGTACAATAAAGATATTGTCCTTATCACATGTTCACCTCTTACAGGTGTTCACCACTTTCAACCTACACTTCAATGGCAGCAAAATACAGCAGCAAGGCAAAGCCCCACTGCTTTCTCACTCCTACTTGCAAACACCCCTTTCTCTGTGAATAGTTTTGGTGCAGGACAGTGGGCACTGACAACCACCTGCCCAGCCACACTTCAAGGTTGTCCCCAGTCCTCCACCCCAACTCATCCACAGGCCCTCACACACCAGTTCCAACTTTAGACTTTGTTTTTCTACTGATGGGGCTGGCTGAAAGAGTCCCTACCTTCTGCACCATTAGTTTGTGGGACAGCCAAGAGGAGAAAAGAATACTGATAGTGTAGAGGTGTGTCACTGTAAACCTGGAAATTCACTCCCCCAGCTTCCAGGGTCATACAACTCTAAGAAAGTCAGATTTACTCTGTTAGAAGTTAAAATATATTCACGACCTATATAAGACTGTTTAAAATGTACAGAAGGCCTATTTATGCAGGAGAAGAAAACCTGACTCCTCAGTATCTAAAACCTGAAAATAAACAACCCTTGTTCAAACATCAGCTATGAAAAGCATCCTGAAATATAACCCACTTTTATGGCTTTGGGGTGCCGCTGTTGAATGCTGGAGCACACTGCAGCACTTCCTGCCTCAGGAGCTCCCTGCAGCATGGTGAGAGGCTGTTTGGGCTCCTCCTGCACTGCTGGGCTCACACCATAGCAGGTCTGGCTGCAGCCCTTCTCAGCACATTGCCATTAGAGGAAGGCAGAGGAGAGCTCAGTAGATACCAGGACTGTCAGCCACACTGATTTAAGCACCCCATTAGCAGAGGGAATCACCAGCCCAGAGGCAGAGCACCCCCCATCACACTGATTTATGCCTCTTCATCTGCAGCAGCAGAGATGATTTTTCTTTTTAATCCGTTTTCACTCTGGCATGCTCCAGCTTAGTGAATGCGCTTTGCTGGGGGAAGGGAGGTTTGATTTGATTTGTGCCAGAGCTGGGAACAAAGACACAGAAAGCAATCACTCTCCCTATTGCTCGAAGCCTGAGTGGGGAAGGGAGCACAGAACCAGCTGGCTTTTTTCCTTTTTCCTCCTCATTTTCATAAGGGTTTGCCCAGCTATGTTTGCACATGGCACTAATATGCACTCAGAGGCAGTAACATCACTTTAAGCTTTGAACTGCCGTTTGCAGAAAGAAACGTTCATCCCTACAGGCTCATCGTCATGGCAACTAGAAATCCCCCTCATATAAGGGTACCGCTGCTGGAGAGCCGCTCCGCCAGGGGCTGGTCCTGGGGGATGCAGCCCTGCTCAAGGCAGGCACACAGGCAGCCTGTGGCAGGAGGCTAAACCCCTGGGGAGCAGCACCCAGGCAGGACATTGTGTCACAAAGAGAATGTGGGGGTGCCTGAAGTGCTGCTAGCTTTGCCATCAGGTTGTGCCAAGGGGGAGATAATGGCAGTTACATCTTCAGATAATCACAAGTAGTACCTGTGGACTTTGAGAGTTACTGGGATTTATAGCATCTTTCTCTGAACTAGAGTTTAATCCTGGCACAGTGACACTGCATAGGGTATAATGTGAGGAGACCTCGGCAGCTCCAGAAAATCAACACGCTTTCTCTTCCACTCAACAATGGAGAATCAAGGCCAGGTACATTTAATTATTTAGCTCACGCAGAAAGTCTCTGGGAGTGCAGGTACTCTATACTTGCAGTTTGGCATTTTGTTGCTAAGGTTCCTTTCTGTTCCATAAACCTTTTCGTTTAAAAAACAAACGTATACAGCCCTGTTAACTCGATACCAATTTGACATATCATTAGAATTGTGTAAATGATGGCAGTTGTGATATTACTGACTATACATCTGCTCTGCCACAGCCTCATATTTTGCCTATGCCTGCTTCAGGCACACAGAGCCATACATCTTTGCCCTCCACAGAAGGTTTGGAGTCTCGCAGCAGCTGCAAGCTAAAAAACGTACAATTTTACAAAGGTAAAATTTTGGAAATCTCAAATATTTCTGACTGCTAAGACTATGAGGCTATTTGTTGGGACTTTTTTTCTCCCTTGCTGAGATGACAATAAGCAAGCAAACATGAACTTGGCTGTCTACAGCAAGTGCTTCTCTCCTCAGCCACATGCCAAGGCATTCAACAGAGCAACCCGGACCTCAACAATCATGAGGTGAAAGGCATTAATGAACAGTCTGAGCACTGTGGCTGCTCCCATGAATGCAAACTGCTGCCCTCAAGCAATGTTCAAGTGAACCCCAAAGTGCATGTTTTAGGGATGCTGCTAGTATTACTTATTAGCAATTCATACCTGGAGGACTCTTCAAAGCACAGGGTGGCGAGGTTACAGCTCTGCTGATCTGTTGTGGCACAGAGGTGTATTTCAGAAGCTCACCCAGAGGGAAGGCCTTGTAGCAGGCACAGTACGATGCACAGACAGTAATTCTTGCTCTTGGGAACTTCTATTTTGAAATTTAGGTCATTTTCACACGGAAGCCAGACAAGGACCTGAAAGCAAGTCAAGAGCAAAGGATAGAGTGATGTTCTGCCTGGAAAATGTTATAATGCTGGTATTATACAAATACCCCTGCCAATACAAAACATTAAATGGAATCAGTCACACCAGTCACATATCATTTCCCCAAAGGTGCTGAATTGATTTTGAATGGCAGAAGCTCACCTGAACCCACATAGCCCCCACAAAGTCCTTTTTCTTTTAAAAACTACTCAAGCTAACGTGCCCTCTTTCTTAGAGGATTGGCTGCTGTTATTACCTGTTGTTCCTGGTTGGGATCCTTGCAATTCCACTTGTGTGCAAATAATGGGAATGTAAGAGCTGTGTATTCTGCCTTTGTTTTCTATTGCAACTTGTATTATCAAACAAGAGCTGAGATGCTGCCCATTTCACATGGTACTATTGCCTACAGTAGGATTTCAGGAATGGCAAATAAGAGTGGGATTTGGCCTACATGATAGATGCAATAGATGATCTCTCTAAAAAAAAACTAAATGCACATTGGTTTACCCACACTATTACAAAATAATTAGGCTGATGCAACTTGCTTTGGTCTCTATTAATTTAATATCCCAGAAATCATTGAAGTATTTGTGGTTTTACCTGCATTTTGTTTCTCCTGAGATTCAGTGCTAACACAGCAGCAATTTACAAAATGAAGAGAGTTACTCATTGAAATGAAACCTTTGTCATTTCCCAGGTGAAGAGTTCTCATTTCTAGACTAGTTCTTTTTCTGTATGGCTCAGGTTTACTATCCTAGAGATTTTTGTTCATCCTTTGAAAAGCTATAGAGGTGCTGTAAGCAAGAGTGAAAGTTTTCAGGAAGACCAAAGATAAAAACTTCTCAAGAACACTTTGAGCAGCACAGAAAGTTGATGTGAATTTCCTTGGTCTCCACTGCAAGGCTATTAAATACAGCAAACTGTTAACAGTTAATCTTTACTGAATGCATCTGACTGCTGATTTTATAACACCAGCCTCCAAGAATCTCACTTCAAGGAGGAAGAAAATAAAGGGGCTTCTGATAAGTACTAGCATTTGAGGTACAAAGAACTTGCAGCAGATACAGCATCTTCTTACATAGCTGTCTTAGCCTCAAAAAAAGAAGCTAAGTTGAAAAAACAGTATGCTGATTTGCAGTAAATAAAATAAGAGACAAGACTGAGGACTGCAGGTTACAAAATCCAAACGTGGAAACCATTAAATGGCTTAGTTTGCTGACTTCAGGTAGTACTTCCTTTTTGCTTGATAAACCAGCACTGAGTGCAAAATGTAGTCTGCCTTCTTTCCTTACACATCCAATACAGTTAATATTATTTCATTCAACCAAATGCCACTTCTCTAGACGTTTAACTGCATTCTCATTTCTACCCAAGAGTACCTGACACAAGTTGCCAGGAATGCAAAACACAAACAAATCACCCAAGCCAAGTAAATCTTATAGTTCAAACATCAGTGAAAACAAGTGAATACATACTCAGCTCTAATTTCCTCCATGCATGTGGTACATCCTAACACTTAGTGGAGAGGCTCTGGTTATTTTCAGACAGACACATCTCAAAAGATTAACAAATGAGAATCAGCTTTTTCGCTAGATGAATGGCAAACTCAGACAAATAATTTTGGTTTAATCTCATCTGCAACCAAAATGGCCTCTTCTTGAAGACCACCTGTGTACAAATCATTGATGCCACTAACACACTTGCAGGTGGGCCATTCTGCACAGCTGAGGCTGCTCGAGAGCTGTACTCACAGATCAAGAAACTCTTACATGGAGGAACACATCCACTAGTTAGTTGGGCTAAGGGCTGGCTTACTGATTTTACCTGATTGTCAGGCAAAAAATATTATTAAGCAATGGTTCCCTCAGCAATCTTTACAGAAGGTGAAAAATGCTAAAAGAGTCAAGAGAGGCTTATTGTTTCCTTGGCCCTGCTCACACTTTGTACACGTTCCTGAGACCAATCTTAATAAGCACCCACTTATTTAATGGTTGTTCCATGAGCGACTTTAATTACTTGGTTTCACCGATGCTCAGCTCATTACTCAGGGCCGCCTGGCTGCCGTATCAATGACTCCGGCACTCTCACTGCCCTGACGCCCATCCCTACTCTGACACAGCTACAGCAGCTTGTGCTACCACAGCTCCAATCTTCCTCCTGAGGTAGCTGCCATCAAAGCATTTTGTGTCAGACTGCAAGTGGTGCCTTGTATGGAACTGTTGAGTCACAGCCTGATTGAGCAACTGAGGAAAGAACTGGTCAGCCTCGGCAGCACAGGTGAAGGCAATTCAGCTATGTGAGCAAAAAAGGTGAAGCCTGGCTGCACCTCTCTTAGACCTCATTTAAGGGCTGACTGCCCCTCAGAAAGGATCTCTGGTTGGAGATCTCTCTCTTGTGGAATTTTTCCCTGTTAGCCTTCAGGGATGGGTGAGATTCCATTCCTGCATTGCCTTTCTTTCTGGCTGTAACGTGGCCGCATGGGCACTTTGGGAGAATCTGGCCTACAAGTAGCTTTTTCCCAAGCAACTGGAATCAGTCTGCTCTAACACATTACTCAAACCATCCGCACTGCCTCCAACTCCTTCATGGGAGGTGTGTGGTGGCTGCTCTTCTGTCTGAAGTCGCTGATGCAGGCCTGGCCTAATATCCGCTGACTTCTACATGCTTGGAATTAAGCACTGTGTATATGGATGCTTCAGTTAAGGCAACCAAGGGGTGGGGTATTTTATGCTGATTAAAATTGATGGGATCTGGATATCCAAATCCTTTGGGTAGCTTTGCAAATGTCAGCCACAAAGTGCAATAAACTCTTATAATGTATATGTATCCTTTTCTTTACTGGGATGCATAGGAGCCATTCCTAGTTATAAAAAACAGTTATCAGTGAGAATAACTCATGCCCCAAAGCAATGATGAGATGGTAGAATTTATTCCGCTGCATGGACCTGTTGGTTAGAACCATCACTCATATCACTGAAAAATGAGCTGTCATAGAGAAGAACTTCCCTGGAGCTTGCTCTTTCATTCTGTAGTAGTATTTCCACGCAACATAATTATCATGAACTTTGCTGATGACAAGACTAAAATACAAAAACTCAAGAGCATCTCCATGAACAGAGTTGATCAATGTGCTTGCTAAATTTTCAGCAAGTACATAAGTTGGGAGAGATCTCTGTCTGCTTGTCCACATAACATTCGCTGCTCATAAGAAAATACAGGCTTGACTGTGTTAATTGCAGCTCTTTCATCTGTCAGCTTCAAGCTGTGTTATAACTGACCTAGATTAAATACTAGTAGTGCTAAAGAGATCCAGAAACAAAGAGAGATAGATGCCATAATTCTGTCTTCTATCTTGTGATGTTCCAAGAGATCCCCTCCCATTTGGGCACCAGTGGAGGAGGTAATCTTGCAGCCTGTGCTGGATATCTAGAAAGGAACCTGGTCTTTCCTGATAGCCTTTAGAGAAGGCTGGGTTTTCCAGCAATGAATAGTAACTACTTTGAACCTCCTTCCACTGGAGATGGTTTTTATCTGATGATTATGTAGGAGGTTAAGTGATTGCGTTTGGTAGTGTGCCCTGCAGCCTTATGAAAGCTATGAGAGATGCTGGATGCTTAGCACTACCAGCCTTACTCAGACTAGGCAAATGGAGGCCACTGGTGCTTCAAGCTGCTGCTCCTACTGAAGGTTAAAAGACCCTCAAGATGCTGCAAAGTCCCAATTTCCTACTCCTGGCCTCCTTGGTAGGTCACAACATCTTTCATTCCCTTCCCATTCACCTCACTCAGCACCATGATATGTAAGCAGTTCTCAGTACAATATGCTGCCTTTATTCTTCCACAGCCTGGCTCAGTCAGGGCACATCACTGCAGGCATGCAAGGCAGACAGGATGCCGATGCCTAAAAGCTCTCACTTTTAAAAACAGTTGTAGGCTTAACTCTGGTAATCTGGAAAGAAGAGAGACACAGGGACATACTTTAGTAATGTCCTCCTGTCTCTTGAAAAAGACACATCTTCACATGAAATTCAGGTGTTCAGACTCAGGGAGGCAATTTAGCTGAGACCCTTTGGAGGCCAGATCCTGCCTGGGAACTGGACTAGAAAAGTGCACTCAGGAAAACAGTTCACCCACAGAGGACCAAAAAGGATTTTCTAAGTGAGATGATTGAGTCCAAGCAAGAATAGATGGAAAATACACAGTGCTCTGGTGCCTTCTGGAGGAGAAGGATGCTGACAGGCCGGAGCCAGCTGAGGGCCACCAGGATAGCACTGACATGCTACACTGGAGCAGGAACCCACTGAGCTGAGGGAATCTTCTTCCTTGGAATACTAAGGAATAGAACAACAGCCAAGCATCCACAAACACTATTATCACCTCACCCTGATCTGGCTCTGACAAGTAAGTCTCAAAAAATGACACCTGTGGTGCTCTTCAGTAACTTGCCCAGAACAGAGCAGAGACTAGAAGTAAAATCAAATGCAATAGGATCACTGCAGGTGAAGAGCCCACCTAACATACACACACACACACACTTGGATGTTGTTATGAATGAGGAATTTTGTTTGGAAGAATAACCTGCCACAGCCCATTTGAAACAGTGTGCTTATTGTACCTGCTCTGCTCTTGGCAGGGAGCTTCCTTTGTTTCCCTGCACAAAGAAGCCTTTGTACCAGAAGCCACTACATATTTCTGATATATACTGGTACATATAACTAGAGAACATGTCAACAGGCAGAAGCAATTTAATTTCAGTCAGGTATCATTTTCACATTCTCAGCCCCTGACCTTTAACTAAAAACTTGGCTATAGAGAGCTAGAAAGCACATCTGTCGTCATGCTGGGAAAAAAAAAAAAAGCAAAAAACTAGA